GAAGTGTATTATGCACAAATAAATAATGCATTTTGCATAATATGTGTAAGATGGTAAAATCTTCATAATTTTGTAAAAACCAAAACTTTGTTGCTCTAAGATCAACAATTTTAGTATTTTCGGAACCAGCAGCATCAGACACAGTATATTGGAGGTAATCATTTTACACGTAAGAAATTAGAATAAAGTAGACTTACAACATTTACCTCGATTAACAAATTTTAATGGCAGTTTATATAATATTATTTACATTAATATAAAACATGTAAGGAAGACACATGTTGGAAAAATAAAACAAATGATGTATATGAAAAATTTTCTGGTTACTGTAGATATAAACGATTACCACCATGCGTAAACTGATTTGAATTATTCCAGTCTGAAACATCATGATTACATAGATCATGCAAGGCATATATCAATTCATATGTTGTGAGCATAGCTTTTTCACATATTTTACCACTAACTTGATAGTAAACTGGATTCATCAACCAATCTTCGAGATTATCCATTTGTAGTGTAAATACATGTGATTTTTCTATTGAATGATTAATCAGTTTATGTACAGTATCAGTACTATCAAGAATCTGTTTTAAACCATTTTCAATACGTTCTAAATAATTGTTGGCTTTCTGTTGATGCTTTGTATATTTGGATCGTATAAATTCAACAAGACAAGCCAGGCCTCCAATACTGACCACTCCTATTCCTATACACAGGGTGATGGCTAGAAGAGGTGGACAGGCCACACCTGCGAGGACTAGTGCTCCTGTGCCACCAAATGCTGCACTCCCGATAGCAGTACCCGCCAGACTACCGCCAATCACCGCACCACTCAGAGTTCCTGAGACTAAAGCACGATCCAGATATATTCGATTTTTTACTGTATCTTTTTTTTGATTAACTATTCCTTTAAGACTTTGCATATCCTCTTGTAAATCGACAATTTCTTTCTTTGTATTCTCTGCCATTGTACAAAATTGTTTAGCTCTTTCATTTAATCGTTTAATTGATAATTTCACGGCGTTTCGTCTGTTGTCTTCTAATTGTGTCAGTTGTGATGGAGCAGATAGAGTATTCTTAATAACTTCTAAATGATGCACTGTATTTTCTAATGTCGAGGACATCAACTGAGCTTGATGTTGAAGTTCCAAAACTTCTTTAATAAATCGCCGTATTATGATTTGAAATTCCTCAGCTATTTCTTTAAATTCTGAAACTTCTTGATTAATTTCTATGATTAAATCTTTTGTTAATGTAATCATTTTAACATAATTTCGAAATCGACTGACATAAGAAGTCACCCAGTAAAAACGTCCGGTTACGGATCAGAACGCAGAATATTGCCTCGATGACGGGAGCGGATCAAAGAATATTATTTTACCTGAACGTCCTCAAGAGATGAGTTTTAAGACAGTGATGCATAATTAGTTGACGCAGCTACTAATTTTACAAATATCTGTGCTTGTGGATCATTATCTAAATCAAAATTTTGTGTTGCAATTTCTAATTCATCAACGGCATTTGTTTGTGGTATGAGATCGCTATCAAGAGCAGCCTGATCGAGCAACTGATCTAATACAGTAGTGGTGGCCATAGAAGAAGTATCAACTTCTTCTGTATTATTAGCCATGTTTATAATGACTAAAACAGGTTAAATTTATTAGTTTACTTTCGATTCGTCCTCACACACACTCACACTCACCTTTGATGTAACCCTCTGATGTTGTTTGTTCTACAAATCAGTTAGAAATGAATTCGAAGGTACCAAGTTAGCAACTGATATATAATCCAATGTTTAATCTTCAATTAAGTGTTCTTATAGAGTGAACAGCTGTGAATTCA